TCCCTTTTTCCAGTGTGATAATTTTTGTAGCTATTTGTCCATATTTTTATTCAAAGTTTAGTTAAAAAATAAAAATATTAGTCTGTTATATGACTCTGTGCGAGACATCAGCATAAATTAATAAACGACATTTATATTTATTCCAATTATAATTTTTAAATATAAGGAATTTATATTTAATGGAGGTTAATTTCATTTTTGGATTAGGTACACGCACGCACACACACACTCTCTGTCTTAGTTTCTTTATCATTTGTTCCAGCAGTGGTGGCCAAAATGTAGTCAGATTCGACCTTTTCTCATCGTTAGACTCCAATCAGCAGCTAATTAACATTCATTTCTATTACGGGTAAATAAAGGATACGGGTTATTATTGGATTCATCATATTTAATGGAACTGGCAACAAGGAACGCAATTCGCAGAATATAGCAGGACAATTACCACATAGCAGCAGGACAACTACGACACAGCGTTTTTTTGAACGTAAACAATGCAGGCCAAAAACGTAAGCGGAGGGCATGGCGGCAGGGCAATAAACACAATGTGGAATGTAGCATAGCTTAGCGTTAATAATATAATACAGTTTTATTCCCTACTGTTTGATGTTTGTAACAACAATAAAATATATTTAACACTTGGCCTAAGTAATTATTTCAATTAAGGGAACCCCCCCCCATTCTCGATTTTTTATTTTTAAGATTTTAAATGGGCTGGTAAATGAATACCAATGCTTGTTAAGGTTTGTAACTTTGCACATATATATTTGAAGATTTAAAAAGGAAGAAAAATAATTTACAAAAAAAATTTGTTGTTGTTTTGTTGTTGTTTTTTGTGATCAAAGAAAAGTCCTTATTTTTGATGGCGGGCATGATGACTCCTTACTGGAACATCGGAATCCGAAAATTCCAACGGTGTTAGAAAGAGTACATGTCTGGCTCTCGTATGAACTAGGATTATTGACCTCGCTCTAAAATTAACAAAATGGCGGACCGATTGGGTTATTAGTTTTTGAGTTATCGTGCCCGCCATTCGCAAAAAAATGTTTAGAGAAAAACGCGTTTAAAGTTTGAGAAGCCCTTCAGCCGTCACTTGATGCAGATACAATAAATCGGCTATATCTTCAAGAGTTCTTGAGATTTTCACTTGAAATTTTGTAGAGACATTCTTTAATCAGTGTAGATTCGAATTATATCAACAAAAATTTTGACCCCGAGAATGGGGGGGGTCCCCTTAAGTAATTTAATGTATATTTTGTGTTTATAGTATACACAGCTTCAGAGTAACACTCATCCAAAGGTGAAAATTTTATGCGATCATATTTCAAAAAAAAAAAAAAAAAAACGGCCAAATTTTTAGATCTGTCAATGGAATTATATGGGTACCCGCGATCAGTACGGTTTCGGATGAATAAAACGGGTTTCGGCTGAAATAAAATATTCTTCGTGAAAATCCATCTACTACAACGGAGAGAACTGGCCTTCCAAAAACACTAAATTTAGCAAAAAAAAAAAAATGTTTTTGAAAACATCGCGGATTTAGTTGCATTTTCTGTGGATCATTTTCGTTTGGATCCCAATACGAATTTTGAACTTTTGCAAAAACAGAACTTAAAAATTTTTAGCCGAAAGAGAGATGTACTCAATTTAACACAAAACCAGTCAGGAAAGTCGGATGGGGCCCACTATATGATACCCTTCACCACTTTGGATATATTCATCAGATGCATCCTAACAGACCTCGTGAAGAATCATTAACAGAAAATTGGATGAATTAAAATGTGCCTTCTTTATCTAAAGGTGAATCGACTTAGACCAATCCATAAACATGCCATTCTGCAACGTAAACAGCATTTTTCATTTGGACAGATAAAGAGCCGTTTGTTTAGAATGGTACAACATAATAAAGCAAATCTCAATCGGACCCCCCTTGATTATTTGGAGCCCTATTAACATGATGTCGGTCGAAACCATACATATATGTGCTATGCTCAATTTTGTGCGCTGTGCAAAATTTCGTGCCAATTTTATAAAAATAATGCTGCACCATTTCATTAAAATCGGACGAAAATTTATTTGAAAGCAATATCCAAATCATAAACGTTTTCAATGAAACTTGCCACATATGAGGTTATGCTGATATCAGTACGTTTTGTGACTATGGCCATATTTTGGTGATATTTGGGTGCTATATATAAATCTGAACCAATTCTAACAAAACTGGACACACCTTATGTTATAGTAATTTTAGTACATTGTACAAAATTGTGTGCCAATCGGCCAAACATTTGGTCTTTAGTGCACAATTTACCAATTTTACATTAAATAGCCGAAAATATATGTGGGAGCTATATCTAAATCTGAAACGACTTTCACGAAACTTAGCACACATTATTTTGGGCTTAGTTCAGTACGTTATGCCAAAATTCGTGTATATCGAAGGATATAAAGGGGCTTTGGTGCACTATTTACATTAAATCGGCCGAAAATATATATGGGAGCTATATTTAAACCTGAACCGATTTTCACGAAACTTAGCAAACATTATTCTGGGCCTAATTCAGTACGGTATGCCTAATTTCGTGCATATCGTATAGGGATTTTGGTACACCGTTTACAAAAAATCAGACGAAAATATATAGGGGAGCTATATCTAAATCTGAAACGATTTCCTCCAATTTCAATTGGGTTCGTCCTTGGGCCAAATAGACGGACAGACGGACATGCATAAATCGACTCAGAATGTGATTCTATGCATATTCTCAACAGGAACCATGGGTCAATCTCGATTCCTTTTTCATGTTACAAACATATGCACAAAATCATAATACCCTGTACCACAGCACCGTGAAGGGTATAAAAACTTAAAAGGTGAGACTTTAAACCAATTTTTTTACAAAATCGATTTGATGGCCTTGCAGTAAATGAACGATATGGTATTTTGGCACGTTTTGGCTATAAAACTGTTTTGAATTCTCATAGGTAGCAAATCTTCTTTTCAAAAATTATCCATGTTCCGTCTTTTTTTGTAGCCCCCATAAAGCGTTAGCCGTCATTTATTCGGTGTTTTGCGGAGTTTAGACAGTTTTTATTTGGTTCTAATAGGGTATCAAACCTTCCTACAATCAGAATGCCATATATAAAGGTCCTTACATGTTCAACTTATGTTGGAAACAATTTCAAAGCAGGATCGTTTGTTTAATTCATGGTGGAAGAAACGAATAATCCACGATATATATTATTATATATAGATGTGAATACCACCAAACTCTTTAGCGAAACACGCCAAGAAATGAGAAAATGGGCGGAGTAGACCCAAAAAAAAACCTTTGGGAAAATGAGGGGACAGGAAAACTAACCAAAATCTTATGGGGTGATACTATGCAAATCCTAACGCTAAACAAAAAAGAAATAAGCCGACTGGCGGGTATTCTAACGGGACACCTTAGCCTGAAGGCACATCTACATAAGATTGGATGCGAATGTAGCAACATGTGCAGAACGTGTGGGGAAGACAGTGAAACGCTGGAACATTCCCTGTGCCATTGCCCAGCATTTACAAGCCTTCAGAAACAATTCTTGGGAAATGACACTCTTCACGGACTAACTGATCTGAGGGGGTGTGAATGGAGAAGACTGAAGGAGTTCACAAAATATACGGAACTCCTAGATTCATAGGGGAATCAAACCCAAACGTTTTTTTTATCTAAGCTTTCCAACTTTCTCCGCACTTCTAGAGCGCACAACAAGCCTCATTTGGCTTATGTGTATGTCCATCTTGCATTGGACATGTGGTGGTATCATCCACCACTCTTTTAAACCTAACCTATTATTTTTAAATTTCCTCGCGTCCTACAGATGACTTTCAGTTGAATTATTAGACGAATTTAAATATCAATCTGGTCCCCATAATAAGTTTCGTAAAAATGCCCTCTATCGTGGATTGAGGTTTAAAAATACCTAATATCGATCGGGACCCTAATATTGGGACCAAAAACGAAGCTTCATTGTAATTGGTCTGCCAGCATATTAAAAAAACACAAATATCAATAATCAACAAATAAAAACATCGACCTATATTAAAATAGTACAGCATAGACATTTTTCACCCTCCAAGAACCCAGAATGCCAAACAACAGACTTATGATACTTATAAAACTACTATGGTATTCATATAAAACTACGGAAATCTGTTTATCCGAATATTGAATGATGTGTGCTAATTTTTATTTTAATAGGTTCAGATTTAGATATAGCTTCTACATATCGCTCATTTGCTGCAAGACAGGCATAACTCAAAAATCGTTTTTGAAGAAAATACGTTTTAAGTTTTCAATTTACTCATACCATATATGGGACAGAGGAACTTCTACAGCTTTTCAATTTGAATGTGTAAGAGATATTCATATGAATTTTTTACACAACATGAGGTCTATTATAGCGAACAATTGGACATCATTAACTCGAAAAGCACTTTTTTGAGTTATGCCTGTCTTGCAGCAAATGCGCGATATCATTTTGTCCGATTTCGTGTACATGGTTCTGTTGTGACCTGTAAATGACTTTTTTATATTTTCGATTGACACGAAAAATCGCATTTCATACTGAATGATATGTCAAGTTTGTTCAAATTTATATATATCTAACATATTTCTAACGAGTATAATATTTTTAACAATACCTTCTAGTTAATATTGTAGCAACTTGTTTTGGCAAAACATTTAAAATTAAAGCATTTGCAGCGAAAACATATTCCAAACGTGGAGAATATGTCTGTATTGTAAATGTCTTCTGTTCGAAGTCAATCTGTCCAATGAATATATATTTACAAATGTATAGAGGTCGGCATATCAACTTAAAAAAATTCGCATTAGATTGAAATTTCAATGATATGGTGAATGAAATATTTTTGAAGTGAATGTGTTTGTCTTAATGTGAAATGAATGTGTCTGAATAGGTTTTAGTAAAAAAGAAAACAATAAAATTTTTCAAATTCGTCTTACCTTAACATCACGTGGGAAATATTGTTTGCCATTGTGCATCCAATATATTTCTGGACGCGGTATACCACCAATTAAAGCTTCCAATTTTACCTTTTGGCCAACACGAGCCATTGCATTGTTCAGGGGAATTTTAAAGTGGGGAACTTCAGTGGGTTCAAGAGCTAAAAAAAAACAAAAATAAATTTTCAATAACTTTTCAATAAAAACTAAAAATAGCAATATGTCAACTTACGTTCCACAATCAAGCTGGCCGAACAGTGTTCAATTCCAGCGGGATTTGAAGCACTGCATGTGTAAACAGCATCATCCTCCAAGAAGACTTCTTCGAAGCGCAACTTCGCCTCACCATTATTATAACTAATCACATAATCGGGACAGTCATCAATGCATTTATCATTTTTATACCACTGTACGGTCGGCAATGGGTTGCCGGTGACCACACAAGAAAATTCGAATGAGGAACCTTCCTTGGCACTAGCACTGGCCAAATAACGTACAATACGTGGTGGAATCATTTGTACCTCGGCGGCATTTTCACGTACCGATAGAGTGGCACTGGTCGTGGCATTTCCGACTAAATTCGAAGCACGGCATGTAAATCTGGCCGAATCAGCAGCAAATGTTTCTTCTATAACGAGGCGACACATGCCCTTGTCATAGGAGGTTTTATAGTCGGGATTGTTTTGTATTAGAATGCCATCTTTGTACCATTCAATTGATGGTTCCGGACTGCCCGTCACCTCACATTCAAAAGTGAATTTATCATTTTCCCTGGTTACCGCATCTTTGAGAGGTTTCACAAAGACCGGTGAGGAATATTTGATTTCGGTAAAGATGTGATTGATTTCAATATCCTTGCGTATATTTTCGGTGACAATACGCTGGTGATCGATTTGCTCGTGCATGCTTTGTAAACGTTTGATAGATTCTTCGCGTTGTACTTGCTCTTTGAGGGCCAACATGCGAGCTTCTTCTTCACGCTTTGTTTGTTCACGTAATGCCTGAATGCGTGCTTCTTCTTCGCGTACAGCTTGTTCACGCAAGGTTTGTAAGCGAATTTCTTCTTCGTGAATTTTCCTAAGGCGTGTTTCTTCTTCCTCGCGAGCCTTTTGTTCGCGTATAGCCTGTTCCCGCAAAGTTTGCTCACGAACCGCTTGAAGACGTGCTTCCTCATCACGCAAAGCTCTCAAACGGGCTTGTTCCTCTTCACGAGCCTGTTGTTCTCGTGCCGCTTGTTCACGCGCCGCTTGTTCGCGTATCTGCAACAAGCGTTGTTCTTCTTCGCGTACAGCCTTTTCACGGGCTGCCAGCTCCAATGCCAAACGCTCACGTTCGAATTTTTCACGTGCTGCTTGCTCTTTGAGTGCCAACAGACGTGCCTCTTGTTCGCGGGCGGCCTTCTCGCGAGCCTCAGCTTCACGCATAGCCTTTTCACGTTCGGCTTGTTCGCGTGCCTCTCGTTCGCGTAATTCTCGGGCACGTTCCTCTCCCTTCAAACGTTCCGATACAATCGTAATATCCGATTTAAGTTTCATAAATGATTGGAAGATGGCCATCACGTCATTGTACAGCTGGGAAACCTTAGACATGTCATGACTACACTTGGCAGCACTTTCTAATTTTTCACGTAACGGCGCCTCACGTTCATTGACATATTTGTCAATGTCATTGACGAGATTGGAGGCTTCTACAGGGTCGCGAAGGTAGGTGATTTTGTTCGAGACACTATTGTAGAAATAATTAATTTCACGATATTCGCAATCGATCTGGAAAGGATAAATAAATCGATTAGAAATAAAGAGGGACAAAATTATAGTTCTACATCATCCTAGAGATGTCACATTTTCTATAAAATTTCGTTATATGGAAAATTGCCTATTGTTCTTCTATAGAAGCTTGATATTCAAAGGGATTTCATTACTACAGATAGTAGACTTATATAAATAAAAGACGGACTTTTATCGGTCTTATATAGAGGACAAGCCTTGCAGGTGAGATCTTACATTGACCTTTTAAATAAAATTTATATGGTTTTTTGTTTATATAGATATAAGGTCATTAATTTTTCTACTTTAGTCAGAATGTCATCTACTTTTATTTAATAATTAAAATGCGCCTCACGTTCATTGACATATTTGTCAATGTCCTCTATGAGTTACAGGGTAGCGAAGATAGGTGATTTTTATAGGTCTTCTAGAAATAATTAATTTCACGATATTCGCAATCTTCTGGAAAGGATAAATAAATCTTAGAAATAGGTCTTCTATATATCTACATATATTCTGCAGATGTCACATTTTCTATAAAATTTCGATATAAAACCCTTCTATAGAAGCTTGATGTTCAAAGGGATTAGATAGTAGACTTATATAAATAAAAGACGGACTTTTATCGGTCTTATATAGAGGACAAGCCTTGCAGGTGAGATCTTACATTGTTCTTTTAAATACATTTTATACGTTTTTTTATATAGATATAAGGGGTTCTATTGGTCTACTTTAGTCAGAAGGTCTTCTACTGTTATTTAATAAATAAAATGACTGATATAAGTCCTCTATAAGTCAAATGACTTTTATAGGTCTTCTAAAGATAAATTGCCGTCTTTGTATCTTCTACAGATCTATAGATCTTCTGTAGGTCTTCTATATATCAAATATATTATGTAACTTTTATACACTAAAGTCATTCTCTAATAAAAGTCTTCCTATAAGTATTTTTATTGATAAATAGAAAACCACGATATTCTATAAATATATATGGACTAAAGTCATTCTGTAAGGCTTATAAGTCCAAATTGATAAAAAGAACGATGGTTTCTATAAATACAAGACCATCTGTAGGCTTATTCAATAAAAGGGGGGAGAGACAACTTACCTTTTCAACCACTTCAAAGAATTCCGTTGCCTGATTCAATGAATTCCTCTTGATTTTAACTTGATCTCTGAATTGTTGCCATTTTTCATTAAGTTTGCGCAATTCCTCGCGGAAATAGGCTTCACTTTCGGGATTTGAAACGAGCAATTGTTCCGTTGTGGTTTCAGTGAATTTTTCAATACGTTTTTCCAATAACTAAAAATAGAAATGACAAAAACACAAAAAGAAAAGAAAAACATTAATATTGCAACAACAATCTGACACTCAAAACACACTTGAGGAAATATTTCATAATAACATTAACAACTACAAATAATCCAACAAATATCCATCCATACTGCAGCAAGTCATTCTATATTTGGCAGCTATACAGCAACTGTCCCGCAAACACAAACAAAAAAAACGGCTGTCTGATGTTCCCCTTTTCTTTTAGTCTAAAGGAAGCTTTTCTATTGGGAATACCAGGAACTAGCTGGTGAAAATGGCACAACAATAAACAAATATAAAAAATACTCAGTGCAAACCACCACAACAACAATTCATGATTTAATAGCAAATGTTGCAGCTCTTATTTCATATTTAAAACAGCTGTTGTTGTCGTGTCGTTTCTCCCAGTAAACGGATGGTGGCCCAAGCGGATGTTTATGGTTTTTTATTTTATAAATGGAATATTAAATGAATCTGTTTATATACCATATAACACACACCGTACTATTTGTAGACAACATGCTAAAGGAAACCATATAGAGCAGTAGCTAATTTTTAATGTGTTCTTAGTTATTCTACTTGATCTACGTCTATATACCCTACCTAGTTTGTCTGAATCCGAAAAATAATTATTTCATTCATTTAATTTTAATTTTTAATGTGTTCTTAGTATTTCTACTTGATCTACGTCTATATACCCTACCTAGGGCCTAGTTTGTCTGAATCCGGAAAATAATTATTTCATTCACTTAAAATTCAAATTCAATTCACAAAAAAATCTCAAAATCAGCAGTATTCATATATCACAATTTTCTAAAACGGGAATTTTATTTGAAATATCAACTCATTGAAATATTAGACAGGTTGGTATCACTTTTAGTTTATGCCCGCTACTTCGTTGGCGATTTAGTCTCACCCTATTACTATACTGTTTTTTTTACAGAAAATATGTCAGAACAGGAAATCAAACTACACACCAACATCGACCATCGGTAAAATTGTACTACCATTATATACCTCTGTTTTCTTATAGTACGTGTTTCCAAAACTACCCCCATAGCTCAACACAACACACCAATTCTGACCGCAACAGAAATCTAGTTCTATATTAAATTTGGTAGAATTTATTACCTTTTGTGTTCTTGCAGTACTAATTTCAAAATTCATGATGAGAGCTCTATAGGTTCTCCTAAATCTACATTTTATCGAATTTAGTACCATTTAGTACACACTACCTACATAAACAATCCAACATAAACTATAATTCCCAATTTAAGGATTCCAGCCCGATCGGTTCACCCAAATCCCAATGGAACCAAATTTTGTACCATGTAGTACGCATAAGTACGAATTTCCAAAACTTCTGGCATATCCAAATCCCAATTTCAGGATTTCAACTCTCTTGCTTTACCTAAATCCATATTGTACCAAATTTAGTACCCGTAATTATGTATTTCCAAAACTACATCCACACCCCAATCCTCAAACAGTATTCCTTATTCCAATTTTCAAAATGCCAGCTCTATCGGAGCTAATTTGTACCAAATTTAGTACACTTTAGTACGAATTTCCAAAACTTTCTAAATACAACAATCCTACACCTCACAAGTAATGCTAATTTAAGGAATTCAGCTCTATCGGATCTCCTAAATCCTAAATCTCCAAAGTGTATAAATTTACACTGTAACTAAGTACATCACAAAATGGCATAGATATCTTATTTTTCAATTTCAGTATCGCAGTCCTATCGGTTCACCTAAATCCAATTTGTACAAAATGTACGAATTTCCAAAACAGCCTACATACACCAATCCTACACCCCAAGAGTAACCTTAATTCAAAATTTCATTAATTCAGCTCTGTCGGATCTCCTAAATCTAAAATTTTAGTACTATTTAGTACACATAGGTACACATTTCTATTACTATCTGCATCAACAATCCAATAGTAATATTATTTTCCAATTTTAGAATTCCAGGCCTATCAGTTCATACAAAATTTAGTACATTTTAATAGAAATTTCCAAAATTTTTAACATACTTTAATCCAATTCCAAATTTCAGAATTCTAGCTCTATAGGTTCACCCAAATTTCAAATTGTATCAAATTTAGTACCATGTGTACTAATATATATATATATAATAACGAATTTCCAAAACTTCATTCGTAACCCAATCCTACACTCCTATCTTAATTCCCTATTACAGGATTACAGCCGCATAGGTTCACCGAAGTAAATATTGTACCAAATATAGTACCATCTAGTACTTTTCGTACACATAAGTACAAATTTCCAAAACTACCTAAATATCCCAATTCGACACTCCGACAGAAATGAAATTCAAATTTCAGGATTCCAGTTCCATCCTCTCCATATACAGATTGTACGAAATTTAGTATTGTTTAGTACTTTTCATATACATGAGAACCAACTTTCAAAACCAACTACTTATATCGACCCTACTTGTCTCTAACCTTGAATCGCATTCCAAATTGCAAGTTCTTAGCTCTATCCGTTCACTTGTTTCGAAATTTTACCAAATTTAATACATTTTGGCACTTTCGGGTGCTTATAGTTCGAATCTCACAAAACACTTTGGTGAATTTATCCTACATTCCATCAGTGATCATGTAGCTCTACCGGTTCGTCAAATACAAATGATACCATATTGAGTACTTTTCGCGCCGTCTAGTACGAATTTTCGAAACCCCAGTCTTATCTGACGTCTTCGGATTCCAGCTTCAGCCGTTCAAGATTCTAGCTTCAGCGGTTTCGTCAGTCACTACCCTGTTATTAATGTAGATACCATTGACTTTTTTTGAAACAGCTCATGTACATCGGATGTAAAATTTGAGACTCATTGGTTCGTAACTGCTGTTAAATCATGACGTAGAAAACAAGGCATGCGCTTAAAAGGGTTCGTAATTAAGCAAATTAAAATAACTATGCCATGTTAGGATCGACCTTTATTTGTTTAAAATTTTACATCAACAGACGGACGGAACTTACGGTCATGCTTCCACAGAATGTGATTTCATCCATATTCTCAAAAGTATCTATGGGTCTATTTCGATTCCATTTCTTTGTTACAAAAATAATTAAAGGAATATATAAACATATAATCCTTTACTTATTTTAGTTTGTAAAGATATATTTTCACAATTGACTCTGTCACAATTGTGTCCCAAAGAATCTACACTCCATCATTATCTTAAAGTGCAAAAAATTAAAGCATACTTTTAGGCAGCTTGGGTATTTGATGTACATTCGAAACTGTGTACCACAAAATATGACGAACAGAAAAACATTATAATAAATCCAATGACAAAAATGACATTTGTTTATATTAACAAATATGTTTATAAAATATAAATTTATTAATTCCGATGGTTTAATGAAAATGTCCATTGTTTATGCAATTCTTTTAAATGACTTTGACTACAAGAAAATGTGAAGATTTTTAACAAATATTTTTGAAAACGCGATCATATGTATGACGTCATGTATAAATACAATAATGAAAGGACTGAAAACATATTGAAATGTGACATAGAAATTGGGTTGAATATTCGAACGTCAATACATGAGAATTAATTTTTTTTTCAACTAAAATATAAAAGCAATTAGCCATTGTCAAAATATAGGTAACAGATAGTTTGTCACAGTTTTAAACGTAAAACAAGAAAAACAACTACAAAAACTACAGGCTAACAAAATAATACCTCCATTGTGTGTAAATAACAGCCCCAACGCAGTTCATGTCTGGTGGGCTTTAAAAATGTTGGCATTAAATTCTAGAGATTGAGGGGGGTTAAAAATCATTTGTTTTAAATGGTAATTGAGATATATTTGCGAGATAATTCATTTTAAATTAAAAATATAAAAATTTGCTGTGTTGTTATGTATGAGTGTGTGCTCATTGATTTTGGATAATCTGAGTGAAACTAGCCCTTAATAGCCTGGTGGTCCCTTCAGGAACCTCAACTTTAGAGACTTGTTTTTCAAAAATGTTACTTTTTTGCGCAATGTTTATTCAGCAAATATTCTCTTTATAATGTATGCCATCTAGCGAAAAAGAAAATCATATGCTTTTCGGTGCTGAACAGCTGATTTTTGACGTTTATCAGAAAAACACACAAAAGCTTCAAAGTGAACAAATCGTGCTTTTTCAAATTGATTGAAATCAAAACTTTTGATCCAAAAGAACCAAATAAAATTAATTTTTATTATTTGTGCACTATATTCAAACCATGTAAATATCTTTTTAACAATATAAATTTTTTTTATTTGTGTTTTTCATGTAAAAGTCCTTTGGTCCTTCAAAGAACCAGTAGGCACTCATTAGAGAAGTGAAATTCGTTAGTGCTTTAGCGTCTTTTTCTTATTTTAGTGTTAATTTTTAATTTTTCATAGAAAAATGCCACGTAAATACAAAGATTTTACCACGGCTGAAGAGTTTGAAGCATTCGTCAATGATTTTGAATGGTCAGAAAGTGAAATTGGCGATATATCAGATTATGACGACGACAGTCTAGACGATCCCGATTTCAATATAGTGACAAATAATGATGCGAATATCACTGATCAGTTGGAAGATGATGTGTTCGAAAATGGGAACGAATTAGATGCTGAACAAGTTGTGAGGTGGAACCAACTGCTGTTGAGAGTGTTCAAAATGAAGATATAGTTGTTACTGGAGATAGCACACGCTGGCATCAAATTGCAACATTTTACAAAGATATCACAATTGACAAGGACTCTTCCGAGTTTAAAAAATGTATCTGGAAGAAAAACCATATGCAGAATCATGCTAGTTGGGTTCAGTTTGGCAGCGATTCTGAATTGACAACAGAAATAATGGTACTAGATACACCTTTCAAATTTTTTTCTTACTTTGTAAATGACGATATAATTTCTAATATTGTTGGCCAAAGCAATTTGTACGCAATTCAAAAGGATTCATTGAAACCTCTAAATACAACGCCAGACGAAATAAAACGCTTTTTTGGCATTACATATTTTATGTCCGTCTTCAAGTACCCAAGTATCAGGACATATTGGGGTGAATTTGGCATACCGGCTATTATGAATACCATGACGAGAAATCGATATGACAAGGTACGCCAGTTTTTGCATCTAAATGACAACAGTAAGATGCCACGTGCGTCAGCTCAAGAACCAGCTCCTTCACGTCGACGAGGATTGCGTCCACAAAACACTGATTCCTCAAACATTGATCGTTTATATAAAATTCGTCCGCTTATTGATGCTTTAAATAGAAACTTTGACTCTGTTCCAAAAAGAAGTCGTTTGTCGAAAGGACGTCCAAGAAGCACTGGAGAATGTGAGACCCCTGAAAATGTGCCAAAACGAGTTCGGGTAGTAATGCCGCCTAGTGACGTGCGGTTTGATAATGTTGGGCACTTCCCGAAATACCTAACAACAGGCAAACCTCGCTGTAAAATGCCCAATTGCACATCTAGAACAACAGTGTATTGCATTAAATGTGAGGTAGAATTATGTTTCCAATCAACAAAAAACTGCTTTCTAGAATATCATACAAAACATTGAATAAATGAACTGAAATATATATAATTTAAATGAAAATAAAAAAAATCATATATAGACCATATGCATTTTACTTGTCAAAGGAGTGCCTGGTGGTTCTTCAAAGAACCAACACACAAAACCTCCCCTAAAATGTCCAAAACTCAAAATTGTGAAAAGTCGTAGAACAAACATTGTTAAGGGTCCTAAAATACATCATATAAAATTTTTTCATTGAAAAAGAAAAAGTCAGGCTATTGAGGGCTAGTGTTGCTTTTTATGTCATTGAAAATGTAATATAAAATAAATGTTGTTTCAAAATCTCACTCACCTCGATGGTACGTTCAAAATACTCAAACGCCAATGATGTGGTTTTAGCTGCCGCCAAACTATCAACATTCTGACCATTTATCTCTTGCAATTGCCGCGAAACACTATCCAAACTGCGATTAATATCCAACAAATCAGTTTTGAATTTCTCCAGCCTTTCCAAACGTTCCAACGATGACATTCTCTCACCATTACAAGTCTCAAAATACATACGCAAATTTTCCATCAATTTCAAAATACGATCTGTGTCCACCTCCTTAGCACCGGGTGGTTCCAGTGCACGTACACGATCAATTAATATCTCCGATTGTGTTATTAATGAACGGAATGAATCCATTGTCAGATCACGGAATTTCTCATGTTCGGCAATGCAACGTTCAATGGCATCGTTCGTATTTTGTTGTGTTTGTTTTTGTTTCACAAAGAAATCGGTAATTTCCTGATGTATTCGCTGAACACTTTCCAGAAATTGTAAACTACTTTCGACCAGGGTTTTATAATCGTATCGTATACCATCCAATTTGGATTTTAATGTTCGTAAATTACTAATGACTTGTTCGATTTTTTGCATTGCTTCGGGATCTTTCGTTTGAATGTTGATAGTTGTGTGAACTCGCTCTTGAATTTCATTTTGAGCTTGATCGATATCTTGCAGGACGATTTTCAATTTTTCGCTGGTTATTGTGTGCAGTTGTTTGGCATCCACCGAAGGTGATGTGAAAATTGGATAGAGCTGAGTATCAACATTGGTGGTTTTGGCAGCGGTCTGTTAAATAAAAATAAAAAAATATAATTAGGAAATTGTGTAGAATATAAAAATTAAAATAATAACTATAGAATGTACCCCATAAGCATATGGCTAGTATAGGGTGATCCATCTGTAGGCGACCAATAAATATAGATCAGTATGAGATTTTTTTGTTATTAACTCTGTACTGTCCTCTAAGCATATATTGTTTTCTATGCATGAAAGATCGGTAGAAAATCTTCTTAAGGGGACCCCCCATTCTCGGGGTCATTTTTTTTTTTTGATTTAACTTGAATCTACTCTAATAATGTCCCTACAAAATTTCACGTGAAAATCTCAAGAACTCTTGAAGAAATAGCCGATTTATTGTGTCAGCATCAAGTGACGGCTAAAGGGCTTCTCAGCCTCAATGGCGGGCGCTATAACTTAAAAACGAATGACCAAATTCATTCCAAATTTTTACACGTTTCTCTGTGAGTGTATAGCTATCGTATGAACTAGGATAAAGCCAATCGGTGAAGATCTTCCTTATTTTTTAACTAGGTTTTTGGTAAAAAATCTGAGATTTTCCAAAAATATTTTTTTCAAAGGTCCGCCATTTTGTTAATTTTAGAGCGAAGTCAATAATCATAGTTCATACAAGAGACAAACATGTGCTCTTTCTAACACCGTTGGAATTTTCCGATTCCGATGTGGGGAGTTATCATGTCCGCCATCAAAAAGGACTTTCTTTAGTTACAAAAAAAAAACAACAACAAAACAATAACAAAAATTGTTTGTAAATTATTTTTCTTCTCTTTTAAATCTTTAAATATATATGTGCAAAGTTACAAACCTTAACAAGCATTGGTATTGATTCACCAGCCCATTGAAAATCTTTAAAAATTGAAATCGTTAAAGGGGGGAGAATATCCCAACAAAAAACTAAGGGAACTGATGAGGATCAGTGGCGAGATCCGAAACTATAGTCTTCCTTGCCTTATCCCTCGGCGGACAATGCCATACATTCCCCACTAATAAATATTTGTTTTTTTTATAAAAACAACAAACTGGGATTCAGCCTGACTATGTTAAAAAAAAACAAAAGTTTTAAATAATCTATAGACCCATAAGCGATATTTTTAAGAAGTTATTTATTACAATTGGTTTCTACCTTTTTTAACAATTTTAGATTTTTCAAAAAACATGTTTTTTAACATACAGACCTATTTTCACAAATCCAGGCTAATTTTCAGGGTATCTTTTTCAAAATTCGTGCTAAACATAAGCTATTTATCAGGGTATAATATTTAAGACCAAGACTAAATTAATAGAGTACATGTATATATATTTTGTACAAATCAGGATAATTTTTCAGGATATATCTTTCGCAATTTTTACAGGGTATATTTTTTAAAAAATATTGGTCCTTGAGGAAAAATATTCTTTAAAAATCCAGTCCTATTGGTCCCTGAGCAAAAATATTCTTTAAAAATGCAAGCCTATTGTCAGGCCTTTATAAAAATCCACGTCTATTATTCCTTAAAAAAATATTTTTTTTAAACAAAATATTATTTTGAATATCCACGCCAATTAGTCTTTGAAGAAATAATATTTAAACATCCACACCAAATTATCTTTAAAAAATATTTTTTAAACATCCGCTCCTATTGCATCTTGAAAACAAAATATTCTTTAAAACTGCACGGATATGGGTCGTTGAAAAATAACTTGTTTTAAAATGTCCGCTTATTGGTCCTTGAAAACAAATATTGGTACTATTGGTTCATAATTTTGTTTTTCTAAAATCCACGCCTATTTCTCCTTGAAAATAACTCAAGGTACAGGTATCGATGTTGCAGCTGGGCGTAGCCATGGTGCAAAATCCATAATTGGATTTCCACGACTTCAACGTAGTATTCCTTATTAACCGTACGACTTTGGGGTAAGAATTTATGATGCATTGCATTCGAAAAAAAAAAACAGTACACATAATCTTCCTATTTGACCCAAAATTACGTTTACGGTCTTGGCTCTTCAGTACGTTTCCATTGGGATGTGTGTTTCAATGTCATAGCCATACACCCTTAATTATTCAACAGCTCCTGAGTGATGTTCATGCGAAGTTGGTTTCGCTTAATATGTATGCAAAAAATCGAAGAGTACATGGAAACACGTCTAATCTCTTCACTTCTATATTTCTCCTGTAACTCGAAGACGTGTGTATATCCATTAAAGATATATAACAAGTCCAAAGAAAGAACATAGACGTCATTTTGCCAATAAGAAACATAGAGATCGTCTCAATTTTTGATTTTGGAAAGATTTTGTAAGAAATTGATTTTTTAGCTTCCAAAACATTTTTTTTAATTTTCCAGAAAAAGCTATTCAAATTTTTGTATTTTTTTGTTTAGATATGTCATTCTATTAACTTCCGGATGTCTTTATTAGCACACAATACACATGCACTTTGAATATAACACAAAATCCATTTTAATTGTTTTTTGGTTTTAATTATTCTTTCCCCGTCATTTCACATTTGATCGATAATTAGTTTCGAAACGATTTACATTTTGACAACACACTTAATAATGTTCCGGGTTACAGTAATTCTATGGCAGGCACAACATTTGCCGGTCATTTGTTTTGTTGATGATGTTTTTGTGGTTGCAGTAAAAATTAAACATCCATCATCCAACAAAGGCCCCATGATGATGTCAAGCGGCAAATACATTTTAAAATTTTCACATTAGTCAACATTGGTATTTTCTTTTAATTTACTTAATATAAGGATTATTTATTTTTCTTTTCTTTTCAGTTTAATTTTTTTTTCTACTCACCTCATCATTTTGACTCATGATCGTTTCCAAAATAGTTTCAACTTCACGCTTTTCCGTTATATGGGTTGTCCAATTTTCAAAACTTGTTGTTACATCGATCTGTTGCTTACTGAAACCATTGAGGATATCTTCGACAGCATTTGCTGATGGTTTTGTATCGAGATATGGATCCAAAATCTGTTCCACCAACCAAAACACCAAGGAGTATCCAGATAATTCAGCGAGAGAGAGAATGAAAAAAGAAAAATAAAGAACTTTTTAGGTTTTTTTCGTTTGTTTGTTTGTGAAAATTCGTCAATGCGTTCCGTTCTATGGAGATGTTTATGGGATGCGAGTACGCAGTAAAATAAAGAGGCTGGTAGGCTGGCTGGCTAGCATCATTGCTGCTCGGGATGGCTTGGCAAAGCAGGCGACAGAAATAGATGAAATGGCCCAACAAAAGAATACAGAGCATGAACAGCATAACATTGTTCAAAAAAAGAATGGGAGAATGTTTTCATTTTGTTGTTAGGTTTTTTTGTATTCTTTTCTTTCTATTTTCTTTTTTGGTTTGTTTAGAGCTTTTATTTTTCCAATATTCAAAACAAAAAATAACAACACAAGCCTTTCAATACTGTGCAAAATGTTTAATGGAACAAAAACATGATGCGTCTACTTGACACCCTACACTGTGTGGGTGTTGGCCGTCAAGTTTAAAAGAAAATAAACACACAAAAATCAATAATAGTTTTTATGTTACTAATAAATATTAATTATAAATAATTTAAAATATGGCATTATAAACATAACTAAAAAAATAAGATATGATGGATATTTTGAGTAAATTGCATATTTAAAGTTTTTAAATTATATACAGTCTAGAAACAGGCAGAATTGGTCGCTACATGTTATAATGGAAAAACATTTTTTGGAGCTTTCAAAATCTTCGTTCTGGTTACTGTTCAAAATAATAAGGACGAAGACGATACACAAGAACTCGACATATTTTACAAAAAACCCTTAGTCGATTGGATTTTAAAAATAACTTGCTTTAATGTAAACAAATGTATGCGGCCTATTCCATACGAATTAGAAGTCCATATCAAAAAATTCATCACGACACACATAAAAACTGGACCTATGGAGAGGATGCTGTTAAAGATTCGTTAAGGGCATTCTTCATTTAAAAAAAAATACCGTTCCCCAGATTCATGTTGCACATGTAATCGGAGCAGCAGGATATTTTATTGTGGAAATGGGATCTGGCCAGAAGATAAGCATATATATATTTTTGTGAAGATGACTTTTGTGCAAAAAAAAAAAAAAAAAACAAATGAGAACGTCGATAAGGGAATTTTTTTCTTGCACCATGCCTTGAAAACGCAAAAGAAATACCAATATAACGTACCATGTATATTTTTGGGGGCCAATATTGATCATGTTAGAAAGATTTTAAACCCAAATTTTAAAATTGCCGCCAATTTCTGAAATTTGGGCGGTATTTAGGGGCAAATTTTGAATTCGAAACCAAAATAATAAATTACAACCAGGACGGTTTAAAAATGTGTCTAACATCCCAAAAATTCCGATTATTTGAAGGCTATTCCAATATGTGGACCGATTCATCGTATTTGCAATATCAAACATCCTAGAAGTAAAGTACGCACACTACAAACTACTACAGATGTGTGTGGCCCAGGGTTGTCCTGGTGGGACACGATACCTCTTCTGTTGGCCAATTCTGGCTGTTTCTGGTCAATTGCTATCTTCAAACGGTCTATTTGTTGACAGTAGAGATCTGAATTTAGAGTTTGGCCATATGGAAGCAACTCGTAATAAATAATCCCCTTCCAGTCTCACCAAATGCACAGCAGAACCTTCTTGGTCTTTAGTACTGGTTTGGCAACCGTTTGAGGTGCTTCACCGCTCTTTGACCACGATCGTTTTATACAGGGTTATCGAATGTGATCCATTTCTCATCTTAAGTCAACATTCGTTTATGAAATGGGTCTATCTCATTCCGTTTGGCTAAGGCTTCACAGGTGGAAATTCGATCCATCCTATTGCTCTTTGTTGATTGGTGTGGAACCCAAAAATCGAGCTTCTTTTTTTATACCCTTCCCCACACTGCGGTACAGGGTATTAAGTCTTTGTGAATATGTTTGTAACAGGCAAAAGGAAATGAGATAGACACATGGTTCCTTTTGATAATATTCATAGAATCACTTTCTGAGTCGATTTACGCATGTCCGTCTGTCCGTCCGTCCATGTTTTTTTTTTTTTTTGTGAACAAAGTACAGATCGCATTTATGATCCGATTTGGATGAAATTTGGCATAGGTCACTTATTCGGCCTAAGGACGAACACTATTGAAATTGGGAAAAATCGGTTCAGATTTATATATAGCTCCCATATACATTTTCGTCCGATTTAAGGTAAATGGTGCACCAAAGTCCCCATATATATATATATATCTCGATTTGCACGAAATTTGGCACAGCGTAATGAATTAGGTCTAGAATGATGTGTGTTAAGTTTCCTGAAAATCGGTTCAGATTTAGATATAGCTCCCATATACATTTTCGTCCGATTTATGGTAAATGGTGCGCCAATGTCCCTATATATCTTTCGATTTGCACGATATTTGGCACAGCGTAATGAATTAGGTCTAGAATGATTTGTGTTAAGTTTCGTGAAAATCGGTTCAGATTTAGATATACTCCCATATACATTTTCGTCCGATTTATGGTAAATGGTGCACCAAAGTCTTTAGATATCTTTAAATTTGCACGATATTCGACATAGGGTACTGATTTAGGTCTACAATGATGTGTTAGGTTTCCTGAAGTCGGTTCAGATTTAGATATAGCTTCTATATCCAAATGAAACATTTAGTCGGTTGACATTTTTAGATCCAATTTCATTTACTGGTCCTTTAAAAATAGCTCATCTGTTGAATATACCCAAAGTTGGGAAGGGTATCATATAGTCGGCCCCGTCCGACTTTACTGCTTTCCTTACTGGTTGAATTCAGCTTTGTGTAAAAGTTTTAAAACAGTTTCTTGCTCAATTTTTAGGTCCTGGGCGATGTTACAACTGCTTACATGCCGGTCAACTTCGATCATTTCTCCGATTTTATCGACATTTGCCACGACCGACCTAATAGATTTCTTTTTCCTCAACCTAATATATGGAATGTGTGCTGGGAAAAAGGCCGCGGGCGGCAATTTTTCGAACAAAAATTTTCTTTAACGATGAAGCACATTTTTACTCGGTGGGTATGTAATTAAAAAAAATGTTGTTTGGGATTCCGAGAATCACATTATTAGACTTTTTATATTGTAGGGCGAAAGACCGTGTTAATGAGGATAGATCATCACTTCGTCAACTCGAGGTATTTTTATGAGTCTGGTGCAATTTTCAACAGAAGCGGCTATTGGCATTTCGGATTCTTAGTTCATAATTTTTTTTTCCAAGAGAGTTGTCAAAAAATACCCATGCTTTGGCATAGACTCCATATAAATATCACTCCCAATATTTTTTTATAGTTTTTATTGATTTATTCTTTACCCATATGTCTAAAAGTTGACATTTCTTGACATCAATTTGTGCTTTGTTATTTTTTACTTCGCTCCCTCCTAATCGATATTTTACTGGGTTTTGTTCCATTGAATACCACACCGATATCTTTTAATTTTAAAAATATAACACCATGTATTGAATGTTGGGGATATTGTATACTTAATATATCGATTTTTGGCGTCACCATCAACAGCCCGGCAAAAGTTTCTGTCTGCCTATTTGATTTTTTGTTTATACGAGAGAGTGAGAAATATGTTTTCTTCGTGTTATTCTTCTTTTCATTTTTGGTTTGTTTTTTTGTTTTTCTTTTAGTATTTTCAAAATGTAAACGGATTGTGGAGTTTAAAAATATTTATGGTAACACGCCAAAAACATTATGGCAATGGTTTAGTGCCACAAAAAGGCTGAGGAGCGAGAAAAAACACGAAATCCCAAACCGAAAAGAGTTTAAAGACATGAGGTTATTTTCGGACACAGCATTTGTGGTCGACAAACCAATTGTGGATATCGTTCAGCAGAACTTATCCCCATTTAAGAGGGCCACAATGATAAGTGTGTTATGAATGTTTGTATTTTGTGATTTTCGTTAGCAAAATAACACATTCATCATTTATTTTCATTAATTGCTGTCTGCCCCAATCACTAATGGATTTTTTAGAATAGGCGAAAGAAAATTAGCATTGATTCAGATTAGAAAGAAAAACATATTTTTTGCAAACATTCAAGTGTTTTATCAAATTAAGTTTTGAGTTTTTTAATTAAAATTTCAATACTCGCCAACTATGTCCATGAAAAACTACTATCAGATGTTTCAATAGGGAAACAACAAATTGTTCGATCTTTTTTGAATTTGAACTTTTATTGAAAATTGCAATGCTAATGTTTGTTTTAATCCAATTGAACTTATTATTGGCCTAAGATAATTGTTTTGCTAAAAGTAGATCCATTGCTGATAAGTATGTGTGTGTGTTTTAGTTCTCTTTTGGGGAAGTATTGTAAACTCATATTGCTTATAATTTTATTTTTCCCCAGAAGTATCTTCTGCTGAGTGTTAAAATTCAACATTTCACCACATTACAATGGAGTTTATTGCCTCATGTAATAATTACTGAAATATGAATGCCACATGTGGTGGTGTGATGAAAATTTTAATTTTAAAATTACAAATTATTAAATTATTCTAGGAAATGTTTATAACCAATCCAATTTTTGAATGCAATAATAATAAAAAACTTCGTTAAGCTCAGTCGATCTTTAGTGATTTGAATACCTCCAATACATGAGAGCTACATGGAACTACATCGGAAATTGTTCATGTACTAAAAAAAAAAAATACAAATACTTAATTTGGAAATCCGTAGGAAATAAGAAAGATATTTAAAATTTCTATCTATAATAATAAAAGAGTATAGTGACTGACTTAACGATTCATCAAAGCCCAGACGAAACGGCTGAAGTTGGAATCATGAAATTTTAATTGAGGGTCACTATTGGTCCAAAGGTGTGCGATAAGGTTAGGGTTATAGGAAGTTCGTACTAGAACGGTACGAAAAGTACTAAATGTGGTATAATTTGTATTTTGCAAACCGGTAGATCTAGAACTCTTAAATTACAAT